CGACCTTGTCGCACGCGGCGGTGACAGCCGAAGGCGACGGCGGGGCCAGCGTGGCCATCGGGGCCAAGGAGGATAGCCACCGTCCCTCGGGCCCGCCAGCGCCGCCGCCGCCGCCGCCGCCGCCCACGGCGAGGCCGGCATGGTGGAGCCGCCCCATGCACGAGACGCATCAGCCCTGGCAGGCTGGCGACGCGGCGTTCTGCCGCCTGTGCGGCGCCCTCGCGCTCGGCGCCAGGCTGCCAGGGCCAGGCGCGGCCTGCCCACGAGGACCGCGAGGCGCGAGAGCGAGGGCGGAGAGAGGCCGCAGGAAGCGGGGTGGCGCCCATGCCTTTGGCGCGTCAAGGGGGGGGGACGGGCGCAGGCGCCGCCGCTCGCCTGCGCGGCGACAGCGGGCGAGTAGAAAATGCCGCACTCTCTCACTCTCTCTCTCTCTCTCTCCCCAGCTGCTCGTCTTTCCGAGGCGTAGCATCTTTGGCGTGGGGGGAGGCAGCTGGCTTTCGCCCCTGAGTGCATGCGCTGCCCGCGGGAGGCAGGGCCTCTTCCGCGCCTCGTGTCGGCCCGAGGACGGGGCAGTGCAGTGTGTTTTGGCTCGCGGTGGGAGGCGCGGGCCATAATTCCCGGCGTGGGCGCGAGGGCAGCCGCGCTTCGCTGGGGACCGCGTTGGCCTCGCGTCCGTTCCCTCGCGACGCGAGACCTGTTTGGGGACGTGGGGCCAGAAGAAGGAAGGGTGTGAGCTCTCGCTCCTTCCCTTTCGTACGCACGGTAGATATACTCGTCAGAAACACCATGCTCATCTGCATCATCACCGTCATCATCACCACCGTCATCACCATCAGCAACATCGTCTCCAGGCAGGGTGCACAGGCAGGGTGCACGCGCCTTTACCGTGCGCCCCCAGGCCGACCTGGGCCAAAGCAGCGCTGGGCGGAGTGTCCGCGGTTTGCGGGTGCTGAGCCGCGCTGCGAGGGCAGAGAACGCTCAAGTCTTCGAGCCTCGAACCTCCTCGAGCCTCCTCGCGCCTCCTCGAGCCTCCTCGCGCTGCGTTTGTTTTGTCCTCAAGCCTCCTCTCCCGCCCTGACCCTCCCCTCCGCGGGCGACCTGTGCGCACCGTGCCGTGCTGCTGTCTCCCAGGGCGTCGTCGATCCTCGACCAGGGTTTGTACGATGCATCGTATCGAGTTGGGGCGGGGCCTGAAGCGAGCCCTGATGATGACGATGACGATCACGATGATGAAGATGATGATGATGATGATGATGATGATGATGATGATGATGATGATGATGATGATGATGATGGTGATGATGATGATGATGATGTAGCTGTTGATGTTGATGTTGATGTTGATGCCGATGATGTTGATGATGATGATGATGATGATGATGATGATGATGATGATGATGACGAGGATGATGATGATGACGATGGCGACGATAGTGACGGTGGTGATGCTGTTGCTGCTGCTGATGATGATGGTGACGGTGATGGTGCTGAGGACGGCGACACTTTTGATAATGCCGATGCTGATGACGATGATGATGATGCTGCTGATAATTATGACTATGATGCTGATGATTATCATGATGCGGATGAGGATGATGAGGATGATGATGACGATAGTGATGAGTGTGAGTGTGAATGTGACGGTGATGGTGATGGTGAGCATGATGATGATGATGATGATGATGATGATGATGATGATGATGATGATGATGATGATGATGATGATCATGATGATCATGATGATGGTGCTGCTGACTATGATCTTCATTATCATCGTCGCCCTCATCATCAACAGCATCACCGTTGTTATCATTTTCAGGTAGTGCGGTGCACGAGCGCATTTTCTCGCACCTCCCCAAGCCGATCTGGGCCAAAGCAGCGGTGGGCGCAGTGCCCGTGGTTCGCGGGTGCTGATCCGCGCCGCGCCTCGACGGCAGCCGCTGCGCCACCACGACATGGCGGCCGAGGCCCCAGAGTCCGTGCCCGCCAGCGCACCTCCCGCGGAGGACTCCGAGTCGGGCACCCTCAACAGGTGTGGTGACCGCACCCTGTGGTCACCACTTTCCTGGCCCGCGTTCCTGTCCGGCCTCCCCGAACGGTTTCCGGGCGCTCTCGTAGCTTCTCCGCGGTTTTCCAGCCTCGGGGTGCTCTCCAGCAGTTGCGTCCGCGGTGGGCGTTCCAGGGGTGCCCGCATTGTCCCGAACGGTCGCTGGAGACTCGAGCTGCGGCCTGGAAGCGCAGCATCAGGAGGAGCGCCGGCGTGTTGCGAGCAGACAGCCCGGCCAGGTCCTGGCTGGCCTCCTCGGGTCCCCCCGAGTAGTCACGGCTGGCCTCCAAAGGCCCCCCGAGTAGTCTGGGGCGGGGCGCTCCGCGCCATGGGGTTGAGGTGTTGAGACCGCCCCAGACTGGTCGGGGGGCCTGGGGAGGCCAGCTGGGACTACCTGGGGGCCGTCTGCACGCAATCCGAAGCCTCACCGGTGACCGCACCGTGTGGCGAGTCCGTGGGGGTTCGGGGTCACCGCGCGGTTTTTTGGACTCGGGTCGTTCACTATGGATGTCTCCAGCAACTGCGGCCTCCAGGGTGCCAAAACCATGGGTGACGGACCGTGCGATGAGGTCTCTGCTGATTTCGAAGTCACCGCGCGGCCCGTACCACACCGCTTGAGGGGCCCCCAACAGTAGGGGGGCGTCGAAGAATAACAAATCTGCGTGCACATCGACTTTCGGAGGGCCGCGCGGATTTCTTGGTTCGGCGCTGGACCGCCCTCCCTGGCGCGCTCCGCGAGCCAAGGAGGGGGGGCCTTGCGTCAATCCAATAGATCAGCGCGGGTATTCGAAAGTGTATGCTTACGCAATGTCATTGTTCTAATAAGAAGCGGAGTCATTAGGGAAAGTGGGTTCTGAGTTTTTCCGCCGTTCTCGGCACACTTGGGCCCTTCCTAGGCCATGGGAATGTCAAAACTTGAGGGATCTGCGAAGCCCGTAGAGATCTTGAGTCCGCCTCGCGTCGAACGGGCAAGCTAGGGTAATGCTACCCAATGTTATGTTTGTTTTGCTGTGCGGTTTGTTGTGCTACGCCGTGAAGGGAGGACAGCGCGTTTCGTATGAGCGAGCTCATAGATTCGGAAGGACCCCCCCGCGTAGTTTTTCTCGCGTGCAGAATTCGCCGACCGCATGTTCGACATCCCCTTGAGAGACTGGACAAGTGAAAGCACGTGCCGGAGTGCGCACGCGCCAGACGCAGGTGTGTCACCTCCCTCCGCGCATGTGTCGAATGGCCTTCGACCCATCCCGCCATCGTGCCTGGATTGTGGGTCAGAGTTCTCAGGGATACTTCTTCGCGTCTCTTCGCAGCGCTCGCGGGGGCTTCCTGGGAGCAGTTTGTGGGCGTCTTGGGAGCCTCTTGGGGGCCTCTTGAGGGATCTTAGGGCCTCATGGGGGCTTCTCGGGGGCCTCTTGATGACCTCTTGGGGCCTCTTGGGGTCCCCTCGAGGCCGGTGGCTCGAAATGTCCGTTCGGGTTTGGAGCCGTTTTTGGACCCTCTTGGGCCGTCTTGGGCGCCTCTTGGGCTGTCTTGGGGCCCTCTTGGGCCGTCTTGGGGTTCTCTTGGGGCCCTCTGGGGCCGTCTTGGGGCGATCTTTGGGGCCTCGTGGGCCGACTTGGAGCGTCGGGAAACCGAAAGGCGCGAACGCTGAGATCTTTCAAACACCTTGCCTCTTGGGGCCCTCGTGGGGGTGCTGTTGGAAGCCCCTGGGGCCGTCTTGGAGGTGCCTGGGCTCTCTTGGACCGCTGTGGGCGGGCACAGCATCCAGAAGACTTGCAGGAAACACCCCAGAACTCACTGGAGGCAGCCCGGGACGCCCCAGGACGGCCTGGGAAACGATTGGTGCGTCCCGTTGAACATTTACAGTCGGGGCACTGAAGAAGGAACCCTTTTCGTTGGGGAGGGGCTCGGTGTTCCTTAATTGTTTTACATTTTGCCGTGGGTTTTCCTGAGGTTTTCCACGGGAAATCGAAGTTTAACTTATGGAAAAAAAGGGGCCTCGTTCCTTATTTGGGGTTCCTTAGGTCAACGCCCCGACTGTAGAGTTCTGGCTGCAGCAGCAGCACAGCCTCTGCCTCTCAGTGTATGGGCCTTGGGACGCTCCACTCCGTACCAGAGGCACGGTGGCGGACTCTGCGTGCGAGGCATCCTCCGAGCGCATGTTCGACAGCCCCCTGGGGTCCTAGACACGTGAAAACACACCTGCCCAAGTGCGCACGCGCTGGACGCATCTTGGATAGCCCCCTCCGCACATGTAGTTCGCCGGCCGTATGTTCGACATCCGCCCTGAGGACCTTGACGCGTGAAAACACGTACCACCTGCCCACGTGCTGGACGTATGTTGGGCACTCCCCTCTTCGCATGTATTTCGCAGACTGCATGTTCGACATCCCCATGAGGCCTGGACACGTGAAAACACGTGCCAAATGCGCACGCGCCGGACGCATGTGGGATACACCTTTCCGCGTACGTATTTGCACGTGTGAGGTATCCGCCGACCGCATATTCGACATCCCCCTGAGGGCCTGCACTCGTGGAAATACATGCCATGTACGCACGCGCCGGATGCACGTTGGGGGCACCGCCTCCGTGTACGCTCTACCGCGTACCTACAAGGTTTCAGAGACTCCCGATGTAGCTATTGCGTTGCATCTTCGGGAAACCTCGCCTCATCCCGTCTGTCCGTAAGTGTTGGTCATTATTTGGAGTCCGACGCATGTTCGAAACGGATTTGACGAGGATTCGTCGTGAATTCGACGCGGATTCAACGCGGATTCGTACATTCGACGGGGATTTTGACACGGATTCGGCGCGGATAGCGGCGCGATGGGAGGACAGACGAGGCCCTCCGAAGATGCGACATAAGGTCTACCATCATCCGAAGTTGTCCTTGTCTTGCCTTCGTCTTGCCTTCGTCTTGCTCGGTGGTGGCGGGGCGCTGTGCCCCTGCCGCGAGGAGGACGTCCCCGCCGAGTTCGGCGCACCCACGGCAGCCCCCGCCCTCCCTTGCTCCTCCTCCTCCTCCTCCTCCTCCTCCTCCTCCTCCTCATGCTCCTCCTCCTCCTCATGCTCCTCCACTGGGAGTGTGGACGGTTTTGTTTTGGGAGCCCCTCTGTATTTATCTAAATCCAAATATGAGATTCTCAGTATTGGCTTCCACGTTTAGTCACGTTCGGCCTCGTCATCCACTTAGTTTCAGTCTGATCCATGGCATAGCTAAGGGTAGAGCTCGTGCCTTCGCTGCATAATCTGCTGTGGCTCGCCGTCTGCTCCGTGGTGTCGAGGATCGTCGATACTGATCGAGCTTCCATGTTCCGGAAGAACGTTTCCGCAGCATGGCAGCCTTTTGAACGTTGAGGACTTGTCTCTCTCTTTCTCCTTTTGCCTCGTGGCCGCCTCTTTTCTGTCCCTTGCTCGCTTCGTGCCCGCCGCTCTCTCCTCGTTGGGCAGTGTCGGCTCCTCCTGTTTCTCCTCCTTGCTCCTCCTCCTCCTCCTTGCTCCTCCTCCTCCTTGCTCCTCCTCCTCCTCCTCCTCCTCCTCCTCCTCCTCCTCCTTGCTCCTCCTCCTCCTCCTCCTCCTCCTTGCTCCTCCTCCTCCTCCTCCTCCTCCTCCTTGCTCCTCCTCCTTCCTCCTTGCTCCTCCTCCTTGCTCCTCCTCCTTGCTCCTCCTCCTTGCTCCTCCTTTCCCTCCTCCTCCTCCTCCTCCTCCTCCTCCTCCTCCTCCTGCTCCTCCTCCTGCTCCTCATATTCTCTACGATTCCCCCCCCCGCGGTCTCTGCAGTGTTTCGGCCCACTGGCCGCCCCCCCCCCGGCCAGCGGCCCGCTGATGCAGCGCGCCGTCGAGTTGTTGGTGGAGGCGGGCGGTGCTGTGCTGTACCAGGGTCTGCGAGTCGCGCTCTTCGAGCGGCTCGCTGGCCGTCCACTGCCCTCGACGGTCCAGGAGGCCCCAGCCTTCGGGTCCTCCTGGCCGTCCCAGGCGGCGGGCCTCGGAGCAGCGGCGGAGTGCCCTGCTCCCGAGGGTTCCGCCTCTTGTGCCACCGCCTGCTTCGGGCTGGCGGTGGACCTGAGCGGCGGGGTCTCTCCCCTGCTGCTCGCGACGCTCCTCTCGCTCCTGGGAGTGACTGCTTGCTGCAGTTTCTGCGGAGGCTGCTGTCTCGTGGGCCCGGTCCGCTGCGCGGGCCCGTCCCGGGCTCGCGTTCGCCGTGCGCTGGGCGCGCCTACCCCTGCGCCCTCGAGGGCAGCTGCTCGGGCCTTGGCTTACGGCCCTGGCCCGCAAGTCGCCTCGCGCGGTTCGGCGACGTCGGGCCTTCGGCCCGCGTCGCCGCTTCGGGGCTAGTCCCCTCGGGTCGGCCTTCGGGCCGCCCGCGCGGGCTCCCCCGCCACGAGCACGCTGTCGGCTCCGCTGCTGACCCGACGCGAGGTACGGTGGGCGCGCCCGCCCCTGAACGCTGGAGACGATGGCTGCCGTGCCAGCGCTGGCAGAGGGCCCCGTGTGGCCCGAGCTGCACCTCTTCGAGACGCCATCTGCGACGAGCTACAGCAGGTGGCGGCTCGACGAGGGGGGCCGCAGTTTCGCCGCCATACCGCTTGCGCAGCAAGATGGTGGCGCGCTGCTTGCCCTTTCCTCGTCCTTCCGCTCAGCTGCCGAACTGGCGGCCGCGGAGGCGGATGGTTTCTCTGGGCTGCTGGGCCCGTACTTGCTGCTGGACGTGCCCTTCCTCGGGCCGGCCTCCCGCGCGCTGGCCACCACGGCCTCCGTCCTGGTGATCGACTCGGACGTCAACGAACTGGAGCTCGAGTCCTTGACACCCCTGCCCGCGGCTCTGCCAGCCGACCTCGCCCCGTTCGCGACGGCGCGGGGTCGAGCCTATTGGCCGCGTCCGTCCATGGTCAGGCTGCACCGCGAGCAGTTCCCTCCACGGTGCCTCCCCTGCCGACGGCGAGGAAAACCTGGCAGGAACCGAGCGGGCGGCTCCGTACCACGCGGGGTCGGAGGGCGTCGGGGAGATCGGGTCTCTCTCGGATCCGGGGGAGGCAGGCGACGCCGAACTCGAGCCTGCGGCCCCAGTGGCGGCCCCTCCTCCGCGGCGCCCAGGGGTCTACGCAGGGCCCGCGGCATCTCGCAGCCTCTCCCATCTCCCGGCCGCGCAGCCGCGAGCTTCCAGTCAGGCGGTCGCGCCCATGGACGACGGCGCCCCCGTGACCAGAGCAGAGGTCGTGGCCAAGATGCGCGCGATGGTGGCGGTCCAGGCGGCCCTTCCGCAACAGGTCCCCGTGCTGCCACCGGCGGCCCCCCCCCCGGGAGGCCCAAGCGCCTCGTCGCGACGCCCCTCAGCTATTCGATCACGAGGCCGCCCCTCTTGGGATCCCGCTGCGCGACCTGCAGAGCTTCGCGACGCGGGCCCCTCCCGCCACGCGGCGGGCGCAGGCCAAGACGAGCGCTCCCGCTTCCGCGCTGGCGGCAGCCTGGGGGGCCCCGCGGTCCGCGAGCGCGTCGGTCAGGGGCCCGCCGCCTCTGACCGCGCTGCCAGGGAGGCCGCCCCCAGGGCCCCCTGCCCCCGGCCGGGGATCCGCTGTCGCCGACGAGGAGGCCGACGCGGGAGGGCCCTCGGGCCCAGCTGCGACTCCGCCATCGACGCTGGACCTCGCGCTGGCGCGCCTGCGAGAAGCTCTCGCGCGCCAGCGGGCCCCTCGAGCGACGCCCCATCCTCTTGCTGGGCTCGCTTGCCGAGCTGTCCCCGACACGGCAGGGCCGCCCGCAGAGGGCGCGTCCGCGATGACTCAGATGCGGGGCGTCGCGCGACGTCGCGAGTGGCAGCAGGCGCCCACTCAGCACGGGCCTCGAGTCAGCGAGCTGATGAAGGAGAACTTGGCCCGCGCCCTCGGGATTCGACGCGACGCCCGCGGCTATGTTCCGGTACTTTCGGGGGCAGAGCCCCGTGGACAGTCGGGCGTCGACCCGCGAGCTGCCGACCCACCCCGCGTGGCCGAGTGCCGAGCTTTGGCGAGCCATTGAAGACGGAGGCGCAGAGCGTGTCCAGACCCTGCGATCTTGCCAGTGCACGTTTGTGGATCAGCTGGCGGGGGGTCGCGGGCACCTCGAGGCGGCGCGGTCCCTGACAGGCTCGGGGGGCCCGCCGACGCGCGCGACGCGCGAGCGCGCGGAACGGGGGGCTCGCAGCCCGTTCTCGCCGCTGGTGGACCCGCGCTGGCTGTCGGCCCGGGGGGGGGGGGGGCATGAAGGAGCTGACCTCCCTCCGTTCCCGCCTGGGCTCGGAGCGGGCGGCGGCTTCGAAGGCCCCGATCTCCCAGCCGAAGGCGGAGGCAGAACCGAGGCCGAAGCCCAAGGGCCCGATCCTGCCCGAGGCCAGGGCGGGCGCCGGGCCGCCGTGGGGCCGAGGGGCCGCCCCCTCGCGGGCGGCCCGCGGGGCTCTGCCCACCCCCCGTCAGCCATCTCCGCAGACGTTTGTCTTGCCGGGCGCGCTGAGTCCGATCTCGGTCGCCGAGGTTTTGGGGCGCGCTCTTCCGGCGAGGACGCTGCGCCGCCGCGGGGGGGGGAGCGCGCCCCGCCACTGCGACCTGCATGCGGGTCCTCTTTCGCCCCCGCGTTCCTCGAGCCATTGTGGCTCTCGCAGCTCCCCTCCCCCGCCTGCTGCAGCCATCAGGAGCGCCCGGGCGGAGCGAGATCGCAGTGGTGCGAATGCGCTTTTCCAGCGAGGGCGCCGCGCCGCCGCAGGGGGGGGGTCGTTCGGCCAGCGCGATCTGTTCTCGCAGCTCCTGGCGCAGTTGCCTCTGCGGACCCCGTGGCCCGCCTGCCGTCGGCGACGCTTCCGCGGGCGCTGAGAGGTTTTCCCCTGCCCCTGCTTCGGGTGAGCCGCCTTGTTTTTCGCCGGCTTCCGGTGGCCTCCGCGCCCCTGCCGCGGAGCAGTGCTCGGCCCCCGCCCGCCCGAGCGCCTCGGCCTCGGTTGATCAGGCCGCCCCTTCTGTCGTGGATGTGTTTGCCTTGCTGCGCTTATTTCCAGGCGCGAACGTCGACGTGGCCCACTGGGCGGCCGCCTTGGCCCAGGTCGGGATGGGTCGTCGGCGTTCTCTGGCTTCTTTCTCGCGCCCATCGCAGCGCCCGCCGGGCCGGGGCGGTTCTCTCGCTGAGCCGCTTCCCCGCGATCCATGGCCGTGCCCTCCCGCTCCGCCCATCCTGCAGCCGCCTGCCTCTCTGGTTGGCCGCGCGTGGGAGCGGTGGCGTCTGAGGCGCGCAGCTCGCGCACTTGCGCAACGCGCCGTGATTGCTTTAAACTGGCTAACCCTTGGCCTGCCGAGCCTCGCCCCCACCGGGGCTCGCGTGCGAGCGACGGCCTCGCCCTGCCGGGGGGGCGCGCGCCGCCGCATCGAGCGGCTGTGCCGGATTGCAGTTCGATTGCCCGTGGCGGCAAGAGCGACTTAGGGCAAGCTTTCGCGAAGTTCGACACTACTGAGGTCTCGCTCCATGGCCTGGCTACCCACGCTGCAGCTCTGGAGGCCTCCTTCACCTCCTCCTCCGCCGTCCTGGTGCCCGTGCGGCAGTGCCCCTCACCTGCGCCCCCTGTGCCTGGGTCACTTGCCGCCGCGGCGTCGTGGGGCTCCACGCACGTCGAGCCCTTCGACCTCGAGGTCTAGGCGCCCCGCATCAAATGGGAGTATTATCCTAAGTTCGGTCCCGCTCCCTCTCTGTCGATCCGATCGTGCGTCGGGCGTTTTTGGGCCCTGATGCCATGAGACTTTCAAGGGAAGAGTGGCCTACGGGCCAGCAAGGGACACGCGTCCACATGGACCGCCCTGACCTCTGCGTTCTTCTCCACAAATGCACAAATGGGACGCCTGCGGCGCCTTGTACCTCGCCCCAGCTGCAGAGCTCTGACGGGGGGAGGCGCGCGGAGCCTTCCGAGTCCCCGAGGACAGCGAGCTCGATCGCTTGATTTTTAGCCCTACGGTCGTCAACAGCAGTTGCTACTCT